ACTCAACAATACTCTCTCTCTGTCCACAGTTCAATTACTCATTACATTGTTGCCGTCACGTCTTGACCGTCTTATATATATAAAATAATACCGAAATCTAGTAACCTTTCGAGGATTCACGAAGCATCGACAATATGACGTGTTACTAGCATCACGTAACCTCCGCTGTCGTAACAGGGTGCACAAAGCTCTCTGTATTATGTATACTTTCTATCACCTTAGTTACTATAATGTTTATTTTAAAATTCCTATATACTTCAAGTTTTGGTTTTAATATAGAATGTTGGGCAAATGACCCACTAAGCTACTTTCACCTTAGTTATTCACAAAACTGGGTCAGTCACCATGGCTTCACACGTGCTCCTCATAAAAAACGATTACTGTAGCAGAACAGACGCCACAGGCAGCGAGAGTGATCTTTCCTATTAGAAATTAAATTCGGCGACCCCCTAGCGATATCACAACAGTTGTTGACAGTGAAAATAGCTCTTGGCAACGTGGGTAGCGCTTGCATCCTGAAAGGAACTGGCATATTGTGTTTTTCACCATATAAAGCGGATTTTTATCATTCTGGAACAACTTAGAAATAAAATTTAAACAACAACTCTAACTTCAATTTTGAATAGTTTGAAAATAACATTAACAACTTTTGAAACTTCTGCATCTTAATTAAGCTTAACTTAATAAACTTCAACTCTTGAGAGAGCATGTACAAATAAACATCTCACAACTTTCTCTCTTTCTAGTAAAGACACGTAGTGAGCACTTGTTCATGTTTTACCAATAACTTGGATCGTATTTTGTAAATAAATACTGTGATTTTGTACAAACTTACGCCATGTTTCTTTCTGTCAGATTCAGCAAAAATTATGCAAAGTTACCCCTGCCCCAATACCTTCTTACTATGAGGGAAATCAGTGAATCTAAGAATACTATATAAATTCCATTATGTTTAATTGAAGAATACCTTGTAGATCAATCGACGTCATGGAGATTTTTTCTTTTTTTTAGAAAAACTTTTTCTGTAATGCTACCTAGGTTATGTTGTTGTTCTAATGAAAGCAAACTAAGATTAATCAAGACAGATGTGGGCCTAATTTCGAAACTGTTCATATCGCATATGTAATTCCTTGGTTTAATTTATTATTAGATAACTATGTATATAACTATATATATACTCTGTTCACGTTATTCATTTTGCTTGTTCACAAGGTCAGGTTTTGGACCTTGAGATTTTCAGAGATTAGATTCTGCTAATAAGCTGGTTGGTTCCTGAGAGTAGTGTGATTTTGTGACCTGAATATACATACCAGCCGAATGTGATGAGTTACAGTAGCCAGTTTGTACTGACGCTAATAAGTTTAGTGTGTAGTATTACTTCGCAAGATAGATAACAGTTTTTGAAGATATAATTTAATGTTAATCTATTATATCTATTAGAATCTCGACAGATACCTGGATTATAAATCAAATTTTTGTCTTGTGTTTTTCGTTAGTCGATAGCATATTCCAGATATACTTATATAGTTAATATAAACATGCCTAATATAAGTTTAACTTTAAACTACATTAAGTATTTCGCTAATGTAAATTCACGACATTCTTTGTCGAAATTTCTTGGAATGGAACGTTTGATGAATACGGTCCATGTCAATAGAAATTACCAAAGAAAAAATTTTTCTTCGAAAGTGAAAACTCTTGATATGGCAGGTGTTTTTCCTCCAATCACCACACCATTCAAGAGTAATGAAGAAATTTCGTTTAATGATCTGAAAGACAATTTGGAAAAATGGAAACCTTTTCCATTTCGGGGTAAGTAAACAAAATTAGATCGTACTACTACTAGTGGATTAGTAAAATTACATTAGTACAATGTGTTGTCTGGCAAGTAGCTGTGACAAAAATAAGTTATTTCACCATCTGTTGACAATATTAATACTAATAGTATAAGTTATAACTAAGTTATAACCAATCTTAAATGGTGTATTTCATAATTCTGATATTTC